ACTCAGACTATTCTCTCTCTCCCTTTGATCCTGCTTCTGGAACCACCTGCTTGGCTGGTCTCCACGTGGAGGAACTATGGCCCATCCTGGGGTTCTCCTGCAGGGCAGAGGGGTGGGGGGCTTTGAAAGAAAATAGGACCGTACCTGCTCCCACGTGCCTGGCCATGAGGAAGACAAGCCTGGGCCAAGACATCTGGAGATTAACTCCTGCCCTAGGCTGTTGGCAAGCCTGTGCCCAGCCAGGGCTCACCTAGGAGGCACCTGAGGGCGACCCAGGCTCCAGGATGAGAGAGAGAAGCTGTAGCAACCCACTGACAACCGACCACTTTGCTCGGTTGTGGAGGCAGGGGCCTGGGCAAGGGGTCCAGTTCCCCAGTTTCCCAACATCAGTTTAATCATGGATTAAACAGACTAGGACCCCAGCGTTCAGAAAGCACTCAGCAACAAAGCACAGCTTCCTGCCCCAGGAAGCAGCAGAAGACTTAAACAGCAGAACCACCTTGCGCTGGCAGACGCACCGCACCGTGGGGATGTCTACAGGTGGTGGGACAGGAGGTTTGCGTCTACTCATTCACCCCAAAGTGCCTTCAACCCTCATTGCCGGTATCCTCATGGGTATCAGCCTGGTACCTCTGATCACAAGCACAGAGCAGAGAAGGGCATAGCAGCCTTCAAGAACCGGGGACAGAGGGTGGAGAGAGAGAGAGACAGAGACAGAGACACAGAGACAGAGACAGAGAGACACAGAGACACAGAGAGAGTCAGAGAGACAGAGACAGAGACACAGAGAGATAGACACAGAGAGAGACAGAGAGAAACAGAGAGAGATACACACAGAGAGACATAGAGACAGAGATAGAGACACAGAGAAAGACAGAGAGAGACAGAGATAGAGACAGAGAGACAGAGACAGAGAGCGAGACAGAGACAGAGAGAGACAGAGATGGAGAGAGACAGAGATGGAGAGTGACAGACAGAGACAGAGAGACACAGAGAGAGACAGACACAGAGACAGAGAGACAGAGACAGAGAGACACAGAGACAGAGACATAGAGAGAGACAGAGGGAGACAGAGACAGAGATACACATAGAGAGTCCCTGACACTGAAACAGGCTGCAAGAGGGGGGATGGGGATGGGAAGGAAACTGGGGACATTGGTAGTGGGGAAGGCACACTAGTGGAGGGACCGTGCTTGGAACACTGCATGACTGGAACCCAATCATGAACAACTTTGCAACCATGTGTCTCAGTGATTGAGTTTTTAAGTTTTATTTTTTTAAAGAAGAACTGGGAACTGCAGAAAAGATAAGACTTGCCCATAAAATACTTGACTTTTCAGTCCCTTTGGTACAATCAGCTAGAGTTGGCTCACATTATATATTTTTCAAAAACAGAATGTGAATTATTTTACTTTTTTCTTACAGCTCATATTTGTCTTCTATCTTTTGACAATATAATTCTAATTTTCCTTCTTTTCCTTTTTTGGTTTCCCTGCAGTTGGGCCGCGCCCAACAGTGCTCAGGGCTTACTCCTGACTCCTGCATTCAAGGGTCGCTCCTGGTGGTGGTTAGGGCCAGGAGGGTCTTGAGCACTACAGGCTCTGGCCCCCTAATCCAGCTCCCCAAAACATATGAAGTTGGACCTTTTCAGAGTGCCAGAGACACAATCCAAGGCCTGGCCAGAGCCTTTCTCCAGTGACCCTCAACTCAGCTGCGTGGCTAACGGTCAGCACAGGGGACCGGAACCCTGAGGCCTGTGGGCTCAGCCACCCTGTGAGGCAGAAAGCAGAGAATGCCAGCCCTGAGAAAGGGCGTGAGGCCACCAGCGCCTTCCAGGGTCAAGAGCTTCACAAATGGACTCAACTTCATTCTGTGAGGAAAATGATCTGGAAAGGAAAAACACAGGCAACCTGCCTATTTTTAAGGCTGCTTGGGGCCCAGTCCCACTGGCACACGCAATGTTTCTCCCCTTCTCTTTTTTCCCATGCCTCACTAAAAAAACTCCGAGACTTGCTCTGTGGGCAACAGGTGGGCGCAGGACTTGGTTGTGTATGCAGGACTCTGAGCTCTACTCTGCGCTGGGGTCTGACATGCGGAGAAGACTCGGGTGTCAGAGGAGGGTGCCTGGAGGAAGTTCCAGGTCAGTGCATGCCCAAGACCTGGCCGGAAGCTGGAGGAGGTGGCGGCGGACAGGGAGGGCCAAGGGACAGAGCCCGGCGCTTGGCACTGGCCGCGTTCCAGACTCCTGGAGCTGCCTCACTGTCGAGGATGCGGAGTGGGTCAAGTCAAGTGCCTACTGCGCAGAGGAGACGTCAGGCCATGGGCCCAGAGGGCAACTCTCACACCGCCTCCCTCACACCCCACCAGGCTGTGCCTCTGAAGGGCATGAAATGACCCAAACTGGTACCTGACCGAGGAACACGAGAATAAAGAAACATGAGGTCCAGAAGATTCCTTGTAGATTTAGGGTCTCTGGGTGCCCAGCCTTATGCCACAAAATGCACAGAGGAAGGGATGAATTTACAATCAGTATCCCAAGATTTGATGCCCAGATTGCCTACCTAAGAGGTCGGGGGACTGGAGAGATAATACAGGGGTTAAGATGTCTGATTTAGCATGCAGCTGACCCTAAGCAACACAAACAGTCTTATGGTCTCCACTGGAAGTGACCCCTGAGCACAGAGCCAGGAGTAATCCCTGAGCACTGCCAGGTGTGCCCTCCCCGCCAAATAATAACATTAAAAGGTTTGGGAGAACCGAGGGCCTTTGCCCCTCTCCTGTCTGTCCCTTTCCTCGGCAAACACACCAGGACAGTGTCACTCCCCCTTCAGGAGCCAAGGCTGACCAGAGAGCCACTGGGAGACACTCTGGACTCTGTGGGAGCCTGTCAGGCAGCTCCTGGTGTCCACTTTCCGTGACTCCGCCATGGAGCATATCAATGTCCTCTCACGCTCCAGCTCTACGAAAACACGTCAGAGACAGAGCGTGTCAGACAGACCTGGAGCTGCGGATCCTGACGGGCCACGGAAGAACCAGGCCAACTGGATGGTTCTCAGGACCCAGGACAGCAGAACATGAGCCCCTGCAGAAACCCGAGAGACTTGTTTTGGATGGCTGACTTCCGGAAGAGCCCAGGATGGGGGTTCTTCTCAAGAACAAGGTGAAAATAAATCAACCAGAAGCAGCCAGCCACGTCAGACAAAGCCTCCCCATTATCTCCCCACGCCGGCTGCACCTCCTCGGAATCTCTTATGTTGCTTTGAAGATTTTCAGTTCCCAACCAGGATTCCTGAAATTTGTAGGACTGGAGAGGGCTAATACCCAGCCCTAATTTTACAAAAGAGAAAGCTAAGCCCAGAGAGGTGAACCACCCCAAGCCACACAGAGAGCTGACACAGCACTTCAACCCCGGCCCCGGGCTAGCAACTCATGTTTATTTTTTCATGTTTTAATAAAGGCTTTGGAGAGTTGAGATCCTTTGACCCTCTTCTGGGGCAAACTTAGTCTCCTTTACGAAGTTATTCCTAGTTGAGCTTAGACTACTGGGAATCATCGCTGCCCACTTTAAGCAACACTGGATGCTTGGAATACGTACTCTGAACCCCTCAAACAGTTTTCCACAGCTGTAAGGATAAAGACACCATCCTACCCACGGGCGCTGTTCCCCTTCTCATTGTGTACAGACCACACACCCTTTGCACATTCCGTTTTCTATCTGAGCTCCATGTGTCCTCAAAAAAGAGGCGTGGGTTCCCCGGCAGGGACTGTGCATCTGCCGTGTGGACGGGAAGGAGTCACATAGGCAGGGAGCCGGGCTGAGGCCCTCTCTGACAGGGGCCCCTGTTGCTTCCATTCCAACCCGGAGCCACGAACCAGACCGACACAGCTATGGAAGCAGAAAAAGCAGAAAGGAGCCTGGCGGGCTGGCTGGGAGGAGCGTGGAGGGTCTCCTAAGGTCCCAGTCAAACACACACTCACCTGGCTATGGTATATGTGGGCCTTGATCACCAAACCCAGCCCCAGAGGCCAGCGCCCCCAACAGTGGCAAAAGAGGCTCTGCTGATGGGAACCCAGCCCTCTCCCCAGTACTCAAGGAGGTGTTTAAGACAGTTTGTGGTGATAAGTACAGCAAAGGCAACAGCTTTTCTTATCCCACTTCACCTAAGCAGCTTCCATCTTTCTAGCTATCAGACTGAGCTGGATGAGGCATGAAGAGCTAATGCAAGGTTCACCCCTGTCCCCCAAGCTCAGCGGGAACCCCCAAGGTGACACCAGCCCACCAGGCACTCTGGCAGCTAAGGAAGGGGCCACCGGGAAATGGAAAGCCTCCCCAAGCATTCCCCAAGATCTCTTGGGGGGCTGTCCTTCCCGGCCACTGCAGGTAACTGAGGAGGGGTGGAGAGGTGATAAGTCCTTTTATACAAAACCCCAGCTCCCCAACTTCTCCCCCAAACATTGCTCTTTGTCCCAATGCAGTTTTTCCAAAAGGATCCCCCGTCCCCCCACGCCCGTCCTCGGAGAACACTGACCTTTGTCCCTGACACTTTCGAACGGCATTTGGGCAACTAGAGAAAGTTGCGCTGCCTTTGGGGCATTCCTTTCTCCTCTCCCGGACCCCAAGACCATCCCGTAGCTCTCCGCAGAGACCCCAGGTCCCCTCCGCGAGTCCCCCAGGAACCCGTTCTTGAAAAGGCGCGCGCAGCGCCCGGGCGGGCCCTTGGCGTCCCCGCAAACACTCCTGACCCGGTGGCCTGTCCGCGTTCGGGCACCAGCCGGTGTGGCGGGGGAGGCGCGGACGGAAGGCGTTGTTGGTTGGCTGGGCATTCCCCGCAGCCCCGGCCGGCCGGGGGGGATTGAGCCCGGGAGACCCCCGTCCCGCACAGGGAACCGGCGATCCCGCCCCCGCCACCCCGACCCGGCGCTCCCCTGGGACCCCCGCGCCGGGGCGCGCTCGGGGCGGCGGGGCGGCGGGCGCGCGGGCACGGGTGGGCGCTGCCTACCTCGCTGACGATCGTGGCGTGGGCCTGGGCGTAGCGCCAGCCGCCCCGGCAGGGCACGAGCGGCGCCGAGCGGTTGGGGAAGGCGGCGAGCGGGTCGGCGCAGCTGAGCGGGGCGGCCGTGGCCCCGGCGGCCGCGGGCGCGCTGGCGTTGGCCGCCTCCAGCAGGTAGCGCCGGCAGGGCCCGTGGCCGCGTGGCGCGGGGGCCGTGCGGTTCCACTCCTCCTCGGGGCTCCAGCCGCAGCGCTCGGCCAGCGCCGCCGCGCCCGGCCCGCGGCACCAGTAGCGCTCGGGCTGGCGGCCCAGGAAGACCACCCCCACGAAGAGGAAGGCGAAGGTGACGCCCGTCAGGCACAGCAGCAGGAACACGCGCCGCTGGAAGCGCCCGAACTCGCCGGCCCGCCGCAGCGCCTCGTCGAAGGTGGGCATGGTGCCCCCGGGCCGCTCGCGAGCGCGTCCTGCCCGCCGAGTGACCCGCGCGCCGCCCGCGCCGCCTCTCCCCGCCGCCGCCGCGGCCGCCCCACGCCCCCGGGCGCCCCGCCAGCGGCCGCCGGGCCTCTGGGCGCCCGCAGGGACCAGGGGGTGCGCTGCGGGGGACCCGCCCCGCCCCCGCGCCCCTCTGGGAACCTGCGAGCCGCGGCCTCTCCGGAACAAAGTTCCCGGGTCACCCCGACGCACCCTGGGCTCCCCGGAGTCCACGGCTCCGGGGTCCCCGGGGTCCCCCGCGGGGACTCGGGACGTGCGCTGCGCAGTCCTTGTTCCCTGGGGGCCAGGGCTTGGCCGCGTCCTTGACCGACTGCAGAGCGGCACGGAGCCGCATTAAGTTGTGGCGACATCTCCAGAGAATCTGATTTGATTTTTTTCCCCCCAAAAAAGGGCAACTGGGCAGTTCGCGGTGGTGAGGCCGCGTGCTCAGAGTCCAGCCAGCCCCGACGTGAGCGAGCGCCCACCTCGCAGCACAGCGCCAGGGCCGCCCTGGGCCAGGGGCGCCTTCGACCAACGAAGCCCCCCGCCACGGTCTTTTCTGCAGAGCTGGGTCGGAACCCACCTCGCTGCCACTGCGCCTCCCTCTGTTCCCCTCCCCACGGTACCTGCCACTCTCGGCCCGGCCTCCCACCTCCCAGCTCTCAGTCCAGCCTCCCCCCCACCCCCCACTAAAAAGTGGTCCCCACACGTTCTGCCCTTAGCTGGTTTTTTTCTCCAAGGTCAGAAGGCTAAATGCACGGGGCAGACTCCCCCCGCTTCCTGGGACAAGGACTCTGGGGCCGAGTGCGCAGATGCAGCCCCCCTTGGCTTGGCCTCCCTGGTTACTGAGTCCCATCCTCTCCCGGTGGCAGCTGGACTAACAGCCTCACAGCTCCTTGCGGACCGAATGAGCTACCATACATGAAGTGCCACAGAATGGGGCTTTGCTCCACTTGCGTTTCTATTGCTGTGCAGGTGTTGTTGGCAACACCGGAGGTCACGCACCTGTTACTGACAGGTCACAAGCAGTTCTGCCCCCTGGGTCACACTGAGCCTGGAGATGGCAGGGATCATTGCCTCTACCGGAGTCTGGAGCCAGTCGCTCCACCGCCAACCAGTCGATCCCCGCTCCCCTACTGCCCCTTTGCCCCTTTGCGTACTTTTATCAGTTAGCTGGTTTGGTTGTTTGTTTCTGGGCTTGGGGGCCACACCTGGTGGTGCTCAGGGTTTACCTCCTGGCTCTGTGTTTAGGGATCACTCCTGGTGTCAGGAATCAAACCTGGGTCAGCCCCATGTTAAGGCAGGTACCCTCCCTGCTGCCCTGTCTCTCTGGCCCCGAGTAGCTGTTCTTACGGCAACTTGCTGTTAGTACTCTCAGCTCGCAAATAGACATTCATATTGCTCTCTCGTGTGTTCATGTCGGCCCTAACATCTCTCATGAGCTCATTTCAGCTCTAAATCAGCACAGCAACCTCCCAATTAGCCATGACCTTTGTGTCTGCATGTGCTCTGAGATCGAGGTCATATTCCCAACTGCCCCCGGGACCCCGGACTCAACCTGTCCCACCAGCTCCTTATCCTGAAGCCCCCCCTTATGTTGTAGCCACGACACAGCCTGACTCTCAGCATCGTCTCAGCACCCCATGTACCTCAGGCTTTGGCTTGAATGTCATCTCCGTGTCAGGGCGTGTTGCTGAGGAGCTCTGGAATGTTCTTCTTCAAGAGCCGGGCCAGTCCAGTGCAGGGCAGGCTGCCAAGGGCCAGATGGAGCTCCCACCCCGCCACACACTGGCCTCTTGCTTGCCATCTCTTCCCCCCTCCACATACAAACACATCAAACCTCACTCTGCCCAGGCATCCGCCGTGCTCCCTGTGACATGCATCTCATTCCCCGTGTTCCTGGGGCTCACAGCCCTGATCTCTAGAATGCAGCTTCCTCAAGGACAGAAAGTTCTGGGTCACTCTCTCCTGTCACCTCCACCTAGAACTCTTCCTGGTCCACAGAGGGTGTAACAGATCTTCGTGGAATGATGGGTGCTTGTCCTCACCACACACAGGGGTGCCTCACCTGCAGCTCTGCCTGCTGGCTCGCCTCCTCCTTCCTGTGTCTCCCCATGAAACAGGGCAGAAGCCCCACCCCCTTGGGTGCATGGATTTGCTTTTCTGATTCAGCCTCATTTCCAGATCCCAAACAATTGAGCCTTCCTGGGACAATCAAACAGAACAACCCACTGATCCTCAACCCACTGATTCCCCGGGCATCCCTAAGCTGATAGGTGGACAGGGCATGGAAAATCTGACTCTCCTCCTCCCAGACCTGCACAGCAGGGTTGAACAACTATTCTCCTGCCCCCATAACCACCTGCCATCCCCAGGTGAGTCTTCCTCCTCCTTGCTCCCGACACATGGAAGAAACTCTCAAGGGAATTCTGCTGTATTGTCTCCTGGCTTTTCCTTGCCTGGGTACTTTCCCTTGTAACCGCTCAGTAAAAATGGAGGAATCTGAGCATATAGACATTTATAGGAGAAAAGAAAGGAAGCCGATAATCATGATGACCCCACTGGTCATACTAAACATCGTTTACAGGGGTATAAGTAGTCAGATAGCAGAAACCATCAAAGAAGGGGATATATACTTATATATTATATATTATATATTAACATGAGGTAGGTTTTGTATACATGCAGGACACAGATAGGAGATCACATCGGTAGATGGCATGAACCCTTAATGCACATCAACAGAAGATTGAGGCCATGAGAAAAAGAAGACACAGGGGACTAGACTACAGAGATGATGAAGATCCACAGATGATTTGACAGCAAGGAAAAGAGAGAGTGAGCACCGAGCAGCAGGAAGCCACAATGCAGCGATCAGGGCGCTATCCTGGAGAGAGAAACCTATGCAAACAATGGGGTGTAGCCCTGTGGAATGGAACAGCTGTATCGGAACACATCTGGCAGCCTGTGTGCTAGTCTTAAACGCCGCCCACCAGAGCCAGAATGGACGCTGGCTCCACTCGACCAAAGACAATCAGAGTGGTTGCTGAGATCCTGGACTTGGGAGCCAGACCTACTTTCTTGAAATCCTTTTCTTCTCTTTTTGGTGAATGACCTTGAGCAAGTTATTGCGATTTCTTCTGTGCAATTGAGGAACAATGGAACCTTCTCCTTTTTAATGCAAATCACTCAGTACTTGAAAGCTGGTAAGTGCTGCCTTAATTAGCTATTAATATAAAGCAACATAAGAATAACATCCACCTCCACACACTCCGTCAGGTTTGTGTTAGATACTCCGTCATCAGGAATCAAAACTCCCAGACACAGTTTATGTCCTCTGATCCTGCCCCTTCCTCCCTGAGGCAGGCACCACGCTCTTCCCTCAGAAGGTGGGCCAGGAAAGAGGGTTCAGGACCACCACCAAATGGGAAAGTCTGTAGTTCCAGTTCCCACAGTGGAGCGGGGTGGCGACGGACAGTTACCAAGGAGAAAGACAAAGTGGAAAAGATGCGTGGATTCTTCGTAAAATGGGCTGTGTGGAAGCTGCAGCCTAGGCTAAGGTTATATCTACCGCTTTGGGAGTGGGAGATGGCTCAAAAGGCTGGGAGCTTGTGACTTGACTGTAGGAGCCCAGAAGTCAATCCCCAAGGACTACATGGTCCCCCAAGCCCTGAGTTGAGAGTAACCCCCAAGTACGACCAAGTGTGACCTCCCAAACAAACAAACTGAAATGAAACAAAGCAAACCACTCACTGCTTTGCAGATTCATGATTTGTGAAGGTTTCGGGAATGTCACCAATCGGTTGTTGAAATATTGCAGTTGAAGTTCCATTAGTGAACCTCACTGGGGGTGAAACTGTCCTGTGCGATCCTGGTCCAGTAATGGCCCTCCTGGGGAACACATTCAGGGGGGACCCACCATTTCTGGACCTCCGTGCTGGTCTCTGTAAGTCCCGTGAAGATAAGCTCCAGGAGGGAAGAAGGCAGCTTCAGGAAAGCCACAGACAGGCACAGGGGAGCTGCTAGCAGGTATGATTGACACAGAACCTCAAAGCACTGCTCCTGACCAGCCCCCGCTGTCTCCTGACCCAGATGCACTTTATATGAAAGCTAACTCTCGCTGGCGAGATATGAATGTTAATAGGTATTCAGGCACCCTCCAGAAAATCGCATCCAATGAAAACTTGGGAAGGTAATCTATTTTTTTTTCTTCTCATAACTCTCCCAACTTCCTCATCTTTATTCCTCACAGGTAGCTCACAAGGTTTATGGGCACTCAATGGGAACTTGGGTTCAAAGATTTGGAGGCAGAATGGCAAAGGGTAAAAAGGCAAAAACTCGGGACTAAGATGATTATGCAATTTTTATGACTTCTAATAATTTCTATTAAAATTTTTATTTTAAATAAATAAATGCAAAACAATAACAAGCGAAATGACTTGAGTCATTTGAGTTGAATGAAAACTGAAGAACTCTGACCTTCTGCTTTCTGCTCCCCCATCCCCAGTGAGACCAGCTGGGCCTGTCCCAGAACAGGAGGCAGAACCTCTCCAGACCGCATGGGTTCAAGCAGCCTCCATGCCTGACCTGCGCCATAATAAGGGCTCACATCACAGTTCCTGAAGCATGCAGTCACATAAGCAGCCTCGCAACTACTCTACTCAAACAAATTACATGCTGCTCACACTGATTTCTCCTGTCATTCTGAGAGGACAAGCAGAGAATCCAGAGAGCAATCTCCAGCTTAATCCTTCAGTCCGAGTTCGATTCCGCCACCCCTCTCAGAGAGCCTGGCAAGCTGCCAAGAGTATCTCGCCCGCACGGCAGAGCCTGGCAAGCTCCCCGTGACGTATTCAATATGCCAAACACAGTAACAAGTGTCACGGTAGAGACGTTACTGGGCCCGTTTGAACAAATCGATGAACAACGGGAGGACCGTGACTGACTGAATCCTTCAGTATCTTCTAGAGGTGGGGCATGCTAGTAACTACAAGCACTCACTCCCAGCACAAG